ATGTTAGAAGGGAGAGAGGATTCCTGAAATAGTTCATTGTATTGCTTGAGCATCATGGGCATATATATAGAAATACAAAGAATAACTTGAAGTACAAGACAAGGCGGGACCAAATCGTAGTCTATCCTATACTTCCTAATAATCCTTGTACTCAACACTAACATCTCATTTCAGTGTTTGGTTGGTGTTGAACCGGAATCTAGTCATCCTTAAATAAGGAATATACTCTCGGTATGCTTCACCAAGCCATACCTTGAAATTTGTAAAATCGCCTCTTTTTAGATAATTTGTGAAATCATCTGGTTATTCCTCTCTTTGTTGCTTAAAAAAACTCTCGTTGTCACATGAGAAAGGTGAGTGTACTCAGATTCTTCTCATTCCACCTCTTCAACCAAATGTATGCATGGAATAAACTTATGCCATTTTTTTATCTCCAAACAAACACAAGAATGGAACTAATGTATACCTCTTTTTTTTGCGTGGAACCAACCCGTACCTTAGGAATGAAACCATGACATTCCATGCATCTTGGTCCTCAAACCAACACACCTAGACAACTCCAATAGCTCATGTAAAAGCCGTTTTTATGGGGTGGCTGTATAATTCAGGGGAAGTTTTCTAACATCTATTTTTCTCGGTTCCTGTTAAACTCCTTCCCCTAAAATCCCCTTTTTCCTATTTCCCATTAAAGGGTGTTGGGGCCCGCAAGTCAGTGAGACGGCATGGCAATGACAGCCGCAACAGTGAGGCGGTGTGACCTAGCGGTTGTCCTTGCAGCGGTGCGGCCTCACGGGGTAGGGGAGAAGAGGCATAGCGGTGGCGGAACCTGGAGGTCGTCCTTCAGGAGGCGCGGCCTCACAGGGCAGGGGAGAGGAGGCGGGGCCGCACGGCGGAGCGGCGCCAATGGCCCAACCTGGCGTCTGGAGCCCATGCGGTGTCGTAACTTGGCGGCAGCCTCACGGAAGCACGCCCTCGTGGGACAAGGGATGAGATGGAGCGGCGGTGGTGCGACCTTGCAGAGGCGTGGGGTAGGGGAGGAGGCGGGGTTTCACGACGGCGGCGGCCCGGCACGATGCAAGGGTCGCTTCTGTTGAAGTTTCAGGCGATTATCCGCCCGTCAAAATTATATGGGAAGGCCATCTTCCCATAAACATAAGGGGCGAGGAAGGTGAATATACGGGATCCCGTAAAAAAGTTGAGTTTACAAGAGCTGTTGGAGGCCTTTTTTGCCCCAACTTCCCCTAAAGGGTAGCTTTTTAAGGGATGTGGGAGCTACTGGAGTTCCTCTTAGAGCATATCCAATCGGATCCCCACTCCTCCACCCGGATCAAAAACAACCACCCAATTGGTCCCCCTAAAGTCCTAAACCCATCTCTAATAACCCGGTTGTGCAATACCCTTCAGACTTAGCCTATATGTTGGGTGGATTTGGGCCGTCGGGACACGTTTTCCACGTCGGATTCAACAACCCGGACCCACTCCAAATTCCTTCACATCGTCCCCAAGCCTCGGGACCTGCCCATGGCACTTCTTTCCTTGTTTGCGTCATCCCTTTCCTAGCTCCGCCATCATCCCCGACCCACAGCGCCGCCACCATCGGCTCCTATCCGTGGACATTTAGGGGGTCATATTTGCCTAGTACAGTTGGAAATGCTCTTAATATATGACACTTGTCAAAAACATTGGTAATTACTTGTGCATTGCAAGCGGGAGGTAAATATTTTTTAGGTTAGTCGTGATTTACTTGCCCATATTAGTATAATTGTGTGAAATAATAGGATTTTACTTGAGAAACCCTTATTTGGTAAGCATTTATTTGTTTACTGACAGTACTTATTCCAGCAGATCCCTCGGTACGGTATCCTGGTGTAGCGTTTAGGTGGGAGGGGAAATGGGAGATGGATTTAACCAGGTTTAGGCTCTCCTTATGAGGTAAATACCTACTCCTGCTCATGTATATTGTGATTGGGGTGTGTAGAGTACAGGTATACTAAAAGATTCTAATGTGTTCTATCCACTAGCTTGGCCCTGACTTATATAAGATATCAGGGCCCCTAGGGTTACAAGAGTCTTAGTCGGCTGTGTCGGTTGAGGGGAGTCCTCCATAGATCCGGCCTCCTTGTCTTGAATGGCAAGGCTTCCCGAATCTTCCTTATGCAAGGCCCATGGGCCGACTTGATGACTCATCGAGAAAACCAACATAGGGGGCCTCGGGCTGGCCCACTTGGGCCGGTAACCATAGAGGTGAGGCACCCCTGGTCCATAACACCATTAGTTTTTTATAAAAGGGTGTTTTTTATTGATTCATAATGAAGCATCAATGGGATACAAACACAATGAACAAACACGATCTCTGCATAACTAATGTGCACACAGCCAAGCCATAACACCATTAGTCCCCTGAATTGGACTTCAAGCTTGGCAGCATCCTGATCGACACCGATCTACAACACCATCTTCTCGATTTTTTAGGTTGAAACTGCTTGTTTGAATATCCCTTAACAGTGAATTCTTGTTGTCAACCCCTCTCGGCGACCCGCTCTCAAAGTCAGATGAACCACTCCGGTCTTGAATCGTTGATGAATATGGTCGGCCCGGCGGAAAAGTTTTCCTGCCAAGCACCGTAGACTTTTCCTTTTTTTTTCCTGCAACCTCCCTCGAGTGGCCCCCGAGCTGCAGACCGGTTTCAATGAAACTGGGTTGCAAATCTCTATAACTAGGACTTAATGTGGGATGCGAAATGGTTGACCGGGGGATTGAATCTTATCGGAATTCGACCTTTTGCGCTTTAAAAGGCTGATCCAATAGCCCACAAGACTCAGGCTGGGATGGAAGGCTCACGGGTTGGATGGAGTGGTCGACCTTTGGATTGAATCTCCTCGGATTCTAGCTTGCACTTAGAGTTTTAATTAAAACGCTGACGCAATAGCCTCTGAGACTCAAGCCCGGCTTGAAGGCCGGCCTGAGGGTCGAGAATCTCCTTCAGGAACTAGCTCGGTCTTCTTATTCAAACCCGGCCTGGAGTATAATTTGGCCTGCCAGTGGCGTTTGGACGCAAGTTGCCCCTAGACTCAGTTCTCGGGGATCCGTCGATCAACCTACTATATGTCGTCCTGAAATATAATACAACAGACCATCACCGTTTGGGCGCAAGTAGCCCCAGGCTCGTCTCGACCAGCGATGTTTGAGGGCGAATAGCCTCCAGGTTGGGTTCTCAGGGATCTGTTGATCAACTTGCAAGATGCTCGCGTGAAATACAATCTATGCCTACTAATAAAGAAAATATTTATTCTTGGTTCGTCATGCTATTTTGCAAAAAAGAAAATGTTTCTGGCAACCAACCCGCAGCTCAGTTTTTGTCTTTTTTGCTTTTGCATAAAATCCCCTAATGTTTCTATTAATCAATTCGCAGACCAGTTTTAAGTAAGATTTTTGATTTTACAGGAAACCCCCTAACAATTGAGTTAATAAACCTACGGTACATATCAAATTCTTTTTAAAATATCCATATCTTTTAGACCATAACTTTAAATTTAACATGTTATCTATGGAATTTGATTAGAAAAATATGTAGAATCTGAACATGATGTTATTTTATCTGTTAACCGGTTTTCAAATGCTATTTATGGTGTAAACTTAATCAATAGTGCATGATCCGTCTTTCTTTCATACTAGTACCGATCTAGATTAAAAATGAACACCTTAGCAAAATCAAGATTGGAGACGAAAGAAACCACCTATAACCTCACAAAAAAAATCTCATCTTATGCCGAGAGAGAGATGTCTTAAGATTGATAACATTCAAATGCCATGTGATTGTGTGAGCACTGAGACCATCGTCGACGAGGGTGGAAAGAAGAATAGGTGGCAACACTGATGGGAAGTCATGTGTTGAAAGAAAAGGCGTGAACCTATCGGGGTCTTGACTCATGAATATTAGGTTAGGGGAGTGTGGCATTTTTTTCCGTTGCAACACACGCCTTCTTTGCTAGTACTAAATTGGAAGAGTCGAAAGTGGACCTTTTTGGGGCGTTCCTAGTTATCAACAGCCTATTTATGTATTTCACATAAGTTGGTGCTTATTTTTACTTTCGTCCAACCTTACGCTCGTTTCTCCTTTTCTCTCTCCGTTTTGATTTGATTTCTCTACTATTTATATCCTATTACTCCCTCGTCAAAAAACGTCTTACATTATGAGATTACATTATGAGATGGAGGGAGTACAATGCACAGGCAATTATCAATTCCCTCCGTCCCAATGATATAAGATCATTTCTCAAACTAAGCAGCATAAACCAAAATGCAAACGGCAAAGTTAAGCCTAACCAGAACACCCAGACTCCGGAGTGTCTCAAAGGAACTCAAGACTAACTAGCTAGAAGTGTAGCCAGTTAAAACTCTCAGAGTCTCTCTCGGGTATTCCGCAATGAAGTGTCTCTAGAATAGACCACACAGCGCTATGAATGCAAATACAGCAACGGAAGAAAGAAGAAAAAATCGTGCAACATGCCTCGAGAGAGCAAAGGCCGACTGGCATATCTGCAATCAGAGGCCCGTCTAAACAAAATAGAAAGCCAACCAGAGAGCAAGCTCAAGATCAAAACTCCGAATGGTCCCAATAAAGTTCGTGGTCTTCTAAATTAAAAGTGACAACTTGGCAACAACACAAATTCAGGTTCAGTGAGATGGTCGAGCTCAGTACCATCGGCTAGATAGCATAACTTACATCAGTATAACGATGTCCCAGGAGAATAATTAGAGTTGCAGTGAGGATACGATTCGCCAACTTTACTAGCAAAACACGAGAGGGGCGTGGAACTAAACTCGTGGTGAAACTACAACCTACAACATGACAGGTGCATTGGCTGGCTCCGTCTCTTATGGACCTAAAGCCGCGGTGCTACCACCTGCATTTTGAGTTTGGACACAGAAAACAACTTAGCAGAGAGCAGAGGACACTGATAAAACAAGGGATACTAAGCTAAGAATACCTTCAGGGTTCAAGGAAAAGGTAAGCTCACAGCCACCCACTTGTCGTCACTAAAGGGAAGCACGGTTGCCCCCTCTGGTAATTTCATTTTCAGGTCAGGACGGCATGGGTAGATCTGGATTCGGTTAGTTGACATCGAGTAACTGCATCGGGCAGAATCAACAGGCACTGCAGTTGCTTTCGCCGCAAGGTTGGAAGTATTGGTTGGTGGCATTGAGCCAAAGGGGAGAGATGTGTGTTCTGGAGTTGAGTTCATTACTTCAGCCTTGATGCTTGGCTCTGGAACGTCTATTTCAGCCTCAGCGCTTGGTTCTGCAGCGTCCATTCCTTCAGCCTTGATGCTTGGCTCTGGAACGTCTACTTCAGCCTCAGCACTTGGTTCTGCAACGTCCATTACTTCAGCCTCGGTGCTTGGCTCTGGAATGGCTGGTTTATCATTTTCCATCTTGACAGGCTGGATAGTTTCAACAGGAGATTGTAAAGCAACAGGCACTGTACTTGTTGCCACAAGGTTGAGCATATCAGTTGGTGGCACTGAAACTAACGGGGGTGACCTGCATTCTTGTGTCAAGTCCATTACTTCAGCCTTGATGCTTGGCTCTGGAGCAGCTGGTTTAACATTTTCCATACTGCCAGATTGGATAGGTTCATCAAGAGATTGTGTTTTGTCAGCAACAGGAAGATCAATACGGGAGCCAACAGAGCAAGAATCATGCTCAGCTGCAAAATGGCCAAACCATATGAGTCAATAGATGGAACAATCAAGATAAATAGATACCAAGAGAAACACAATCATTAATATCAAATACAAGCAAATACAAACTCATATTGCAGTATGACACAATCATTGACATCAAATACATACATACAAGATAACAATCAACAGAAAAGGTATAGTTCATTTGGATTGCTACAATGTCCAAAACAAGATCTACGATTGCATGATCAGTGGACTGTCCAAACTCTGAAAGTCTTCCAAGTTAAAGCAGCATAAATTAAGCTCCTGCAAATTGTAGAACAGAGAACTTGTGAAACATGCATGATGGATAACAATATAAAATTCACATTTTATTAGTGTGTAAACACATCACCCGCAGTTTACATGTCACATAAAATTCTGTTATATGGGTCATGTGTTTCTTGCGGAAATCACATTATAAATAGGAACATGGACCAGAAGCTGGTTCAGAAGAAGTCTACTGAGGTTTCATCACATGTCAATAGTATGTAGAAAAAGAAAGAGGAAGCTTTTTCTTATAAAAAGATAGGAAGGTAGGCAGAAAACTCACTAGCATTAGAGTCATTCTGCCCGTCACTTGTTCCCATTGATACTTGGGGAAATGAAGAATCAGATTCTACAGTCTTGACCTCTTGCTCAGTGAGGGTTTCGGTTCCTTGTTGCATCTGTGACCCTACTAGAAGAAAGAAAAAATGTTGGTGGCCATGCACAAAAATTCCATGAGAGATTGTGCATTCAAGAGAAAAAAAAGGTGGGAGCAAATGAATATAAAAGCCTTTAAATATAATCCACAAAGCAACATGCAGAGCATAATTTTAAAGCATCGCACACAAGTAGAAGTATAGCAAAAAAATGGTTGGGGAGCTATTGAGGCTATGCTTAGAGATATCAGATTAGTCTCGTTATTGTCATTTTCATAGTGAAGGGCATACAACAAATGGTACATTAGGCATACGCTGGTGGTAATACTGTCATTTAGGGGATTTCTGTTTTAGGGGTAGGATTATTGGGAAGTACTACTGTCAACTAGGTTCAGGAATTTCCCTTTTTAAGGAGCTAATGATCTGATGAGCTCTTTTAAGATGCTCCACCTTACCTCACCAGAGGTAAGATAAGGTTTAAATCTGAGCCGTTGATTGAGGGAGGTTAGTTTTGACCTTAACAGAAATAATGCTGGCAACCGGTATCATATTTAGTAAGGCATGTAAAATTGGCATGGATCCTTCCATAACAAATGGTAACCAGCTTTCTCTGGTAAAAATGGTTACAATCTGGCAATTGATTACAATGGGATCTTGATCACGTTCCAATTAATTGGTCTGAATCGATGCATCCTATCCACAATGAAATGCTTGATTGCATAGCCATAAGTAATGAATAGACAAATGTGCCTCCTAATGCTCGTGAATAGAGAGACAGCTGTGTAGTACGTGTCATGTATGATTTTGATAGCCGGTGTGGCGTATGATTTTGACAAACTCTTTGCAAGAGATTAGAGATGTGTTCCTTAAATAAATTGTACCCAGGATGGTATGCAAAGACTCATCGAGCAATAAAATGGAAGTCATAATTTTGACAGGCTATTTCAATGACACAAATTTGTAAATAGCTTGATGAAATGATGAATTTTGAATACATACATCACTTGATTAGAAATATAACAAAGATATAAAATTTCAAGGCATGGATAAACCATAGTAATTCATTACCGTTCAGACATGTTAGTTCATTTAAAAAAAAAAGGGCAACCTGGTGCATGTAGCTCCCGCTTGCGCAGGGTCCAGGGAAGGGTCCGACCACTTTGGGTCTATAGTACGCAGCCTTTCCCTACATTTCTGTAAGAGGCTGTTTCCAGGACTTGAACCCATGACCTCATGGTCACAAGGCAGCAGCTTTACCACTGCGCCAAGGCTCCCCTTCTAGTTTAAGACATTTGTTAAATTTAAATATTTTCTCTCTCAATCCATTAGTTTTGGACGAAATTGATAATGCATTCTATTAAGTATATGGTCTGCATGTCAAACATTAATGCCATTAATGATTTGATTATGCCATAATAATGCGTATCAACATGTCCATCCTACATAATAATTTCCATTTAAATCCTACTCCCTCTGTAAAGAAATATAAGAGCGTTTAGATTACTAAAGTAGTGATCTAAACGCTCTTATATTAGTTTACGGAGGGAGTACATATTAACGTGGAGTAAACTATTGCAGAGACAACATCACCCTTGATAAGGTCAAAGTGACCTCTTACCCTCTATAAGGTAACAAATACATCATCTTAGCCAATAGTGGCAGTCCCTAATCATTTGGGGGCATCTTAAAATTTCTCTAATCTGACACACCACCAAAAACTACTCGTCAAGTTCGTCGCAGTATGAAGCTTCATTTCAGGAGTTTAAATTACTTACTGTCTTTGGAAGGTTGAAAAGCAGCAACCGTCATCTGTTTTTGCTTCTTAGTGTTACCAGGTCCCTCCTGAAAACTTTCGCCTTGAGTGTGCACGGTTGATTTGGAGATGGAGGAATTTTTTAAATTATCTGATGAAGTATTACAGACAGGCAAGGAAGAGCCTTCTTTCTCAGCTAATTCATGCCGGGGATTTGTATATTGCATTCCTCGAACCTACAAAAGGTAGAGCGGTCCATCAAATTAGTATTTACTACTCCCTCCATCCCAAAATTCTTGTCTTATATTTGTCTAGATACGGATGTATCTAATACTAAAACGTGACTTGATACATCCGTATTTAGACAAATCTAAGACAAGAATTTTGGGATGGAGGGAGTAATACAGCAAATACCTTACGAAATATTTCTGTCTGTGCAAGCTATTTAAGATATAAGAAACTATAGCATGCCCTTCCATAACTATTCCATGTAAAAGCCATTGTCCTATGTTCCCCTTAAAAGGTTGCTTTTGTTAAAATTTCACTACAAAAGCCAAGTCATCCAATCTACTCCCTCCGTTCCAAATCACTCGTCCAGAAATGGATGTATCTAGAACTAAAATACATCTAGATACATCCATACCTGCAACAAGTAATTCGGAACGGAGGGAGTACTTCACTGTTCCAATATGTACCAGTAACAATTCGTTTTGCATTGCTCCTAGGTGTTATCTACTCCCTCCGTTCCATATTAGTTGTCGCTCAAACGGATGAATCTAGCACTGAAATACATCCAGATACATCCATTTCAGAGACAACTAATATGGAACGGAGGGAGTAATAATCTATTCAATTCGGGAAAATGGATCATATGTTTATCAGTTATACAGATAAATGATGGCGATTAGATTAGTTATCATAAATAGGTGAGGCGATGGTAAGAAAATTTTCCATAATTAAATACTGGACCAACCGGCAATTGCTCCTCTGAGCTTACTTCTTGGGCTAAGGACACCAGAGCAAGATTTGCAGCAGCATATTCCGCCTCCTTAATTGTATGACAATACTGTGGGCTTTCAAATGTTTGCCCATCTATGGTCACTATTGACTTGAACAGAGGTGCATGAGATGGACCTTCCTGGATACGGTCATACCAAGGCAGTTGTTTTCCTCTCTTCTGAGCATACATTTGCAATTGAAGCTTATGATTAATCTGGATTCCAGGCAAAGAAATACATGAAGCTGATCCAGCCTACAAAAGGAGTATTTTATTAGACAAAAATTGACGATGTTTCCGCACAGTGTAAATGAAGTCAATGGTTTCAATTCAGTTTTTACTCAGTTCTTGAATATTGTAAAATGGGAGAACACATTTACTAATAATACAGATAAATGCTGAAGGATGTTAGTGCTGATGCATAGGTAATCTGGTGCAAATTAAAGCCATCCATAGGAATAAAAATAGGTGCAACTAACCGGCATTTGCTCTGATGGGTTTGCTTCTTGACACAATGACATTAAAGCCACTCTTGCAGCAGCAAATTCTGCCTCCTTTGTTGTGTGATAGTCTTGAGGACTTTCAAATTTGCGCCCATCTATGGTTACTGTAGACCTGAACAGAGGTGCATGAGGTGGACCACTTCGAATGGTGTCATATGAAGGCAAATCTTTATGTCTCTTCTGAGCATAAACTTGCAACTGAGACTTGTAGGGAAGTTGGGTTTCTGTAATATACAGAATAGTTAGTACTGCAAATATACAGAAACAAGTGTGAAAGAATATCAAGAACCTTTTTAGTGGCAAGAATAAAGAACTTCACAGCAGCATGAGAGGTGTAAAAATAAAATCAATTTGAGGGATGAGAGACATTTATATAGTTACATAGGTAGTGAAGGAATATGGGGTTCCAAGAGGGATAAACTACAGCGCAATATGGGGTTTAGGTGCCTCTACTGTTCAATGTATGCAGAAAATAAAGTATCAACAGATGTGCAACTGTTTACTCGTCATAAGGAAATAACTTCGTATCTAGTTCCGAGAGGGATAAACTACAGCACAATATGGGGTTTAGGTGACAACAACAACAACAACAACAACAACAACAAAGCCTTTAGTCCCAAACAAGTTGGGGTAGGCTAGAGGTGAAACCCATAAGATCTCGCAACCAACTCATGGGGTTTAGGTGAGCACTGATAATATTTGTTGGCACTTATATGCGGTTGAATGGTTTTACAAAATCTAAAAAAAAAATACTACTGATAGGTGAGCATGTATATCATCGACGTTTCTGTCAGTTACGATAAGGATCTTACTACACAGAGAACTTGTTCAAATGTAGCCAGTTATATGCCCACATTAAAATCCAACATGGAACGAGTGAGTTCAACACAGCTTCTCTGTAGCTTACTGTGTACACGCTCCACCGAGCAGATTCACTATGTTTGTTATAGCGTCACCAAACTTCTACCATTTCAGAATCAGATAGCTACCAAATCAACAGGATGTCCTTCAGAAAATGAATGCAGTAACTCCCCATCAATACCAAATCAAGTGATATTGTGTGCTAGTGATGGCGAGTCTATCTACCGATATGAATGCATTGTACTCCTGCCGGTGAAACTGAGCATCATTTCCATTTGTCTGTGATGATAATACCAGTAAAGTTTTTATTTTTGCGAGGTAATAATACCAGTGTAAGTTGACTCGTACTGGTTCAATAGACAATAAACTATGCATTTCTACTAGAATCTCAATAGCCAGTAAACTATCCATTTCTACTAGAATCTCAATCGCTATCAAAATGGCTTAAGCCTTTATACAGTTGATGATACCCCAGTTTGTTCAGGCCCAGAAAAAATGAAAAGAAAATGCACCTAATGTGGACATGAACTAGATGTAACCAGAAAGACGCTAACTGCACTCATGAATCCTGAACCAACAGCCGTCCACGAATCGTGCAAGTAAGGAGCTACTCGGGAACAAAACCTGAAACCGAAAGTTGGGAACCAAAATCCGACCACGAAGTGTTCGCGCAAGCGCAAGTAAGGACCCGGATGTACCCGCTAGTGGGGAACTGGGGGATCTGACACTCACCGGACTGCGGCGGGGGAGGGGGCGGGAGGGCGGAGAGGCGCTCGAAGGCGGCCTTGGCGGCGAGGTTCTGGGCCTCCTTGGCCGTGCCGAACCCGCCGCCCTCGTCCGGCGAGTGGTACACTTCGCCGTTGACGGCGACGGTGGCGCGGAACCTCAGCGAGTGGGCCGGCCCCTCGCTCTGGTGGGCGTAGTCCGGCGGCGGCCACCGCCGCTGCTGGCACAGCTGATTCAGCTGCGCCTTGAACATTGCCGCGGAAGATTGGGACCCGGCCTCTCCCGATGGGGAATTCTTCGGGGCTATCGCTCGCTTTGATCTGTTCGCTGGATTCGACTTCTCACGTTTATTGCGCCTCACTCGCTCCCCCTCCTCTGCTGGATTGATGCTCCTTCACGCTCCTTTGTGGGCTTCGGTTCAGTGGTACGACGTTTGTTTGGTGGGTGGGTTGGGGTTTATCCGCGTGTTTTCAGGGTCTCGCTCCGGGCAACCACTATGTTGTGAAGAGTAAATTGCACACACAATTCACAAGTAACAAATGAATCAACTCCTTTCGAGAGCTTTCAAAAAAAAAAACTCCTTTCGAGAAAAATAAATAAATGAATCAACTGTGTTAAACAAAATTCAACTACTCCCTTTGTCCCGATTTAGATGTCGTGATGGCATTTTGCTATTGTGTAATCGAGACCAGCCCGCCTTCGTGGAGCTGTGTCGCAGGTGGGCGGTGACGTAATCGAGACCAGGTGGGCGGTGACGGAATCGAGACCGGGTGGGCTGCGAGCGGCGGAGTCGTCAGCACGGCGGCGGAATCCGACGGTGCTTGGCCCAGGCGAAACATGGGCGACAATGGGAGGCCGAAGGAAGGAGACGGGCCGTTTTGTTGGATGTTTGAAAGTATGAGGTTTTTTTGCAAAATATCTAGTGTACTACGTGCACGACGAGTAAATCGGGACGGAGGAGGTATGTGTTAGTAATATTGATGAGTAACGATATATATATACACCCGAAAGGGATATGACCACCTAGAAAGAGAATGGACATTCTTTTTAGGAAAATCATCATCGCTACTTTATTTCATTTCAAGTAGGGATACATCTACAACTAGCGAGAGAATAGAGAAAGGAAGATTATTCAACCAAACTTCGGGTGATAATCTTAGCTAATATAGCAAGCTCGCGAGCCACGAGGTTAGCTTCACACCTGCAATGCTAAAAATATGCCTTCCCAAATATCCTTGGACACTTCAAACCAATCATTGATGCTCGTCATCACACGGATGCTAACCCCATTCAGCTCTTCATGCAGTCCACCAGTTCGAGACAGTCGAGTAGACAATTAAGCGTTGGATTCCCATAGAACGATCGGACCATGTTTACGTGTCATCGCCTTGATGGTATGGGTATTTATCGTCGAGGCAAGGAAATGATTCTCTGCCACCACCAAGTCCCCAACGTATCTGGATCATAGCACGACAGGACCCATAATCATCTTCATATGAAAAAGAAGCGTCAATATTGACCTTCAGGGTTCTGACGAGTGGGTGTGTCCACCTGACCTCTTTTTCCCGGAACTGCTACAGTGCATCCAGACGAGCACAGTTTAGCGCCAAAACTTAACATTATAGCGCCTGACAGTTGAGCTTCTTCTCCATGCACTTTTTTTCTTTCTTTCCTTCTAGATGTAAACCAAGAATGACAAAGTCAGCCATGGTTACCTGGTCTATAGTTCGTTTAGAGGGAATGGAGATATTAGTTTGCAAGATGGTAACCACATGTTAGTTGGATAAGCAGAGACTATCCTTAGTTAACACATGGTTAATTATATATCCTGATAGTTCCTTCTAATCTATGCTTGTTTGTGTAAGTTGGGTCTATTCGCGTGCTTCGGCATGGCGGGTGACAGGGTATCACTCTGGGAAACTTAGTTATAATACATCATATTTGAATTCAATTGATATAGTTGACTAATCGATGCCTAAGTCTCATCTCTACATTTATGTCGGGCGCGCCACACTCTACCCCAAGCCTGTAGGATGGAAAGTATGTCTAGAGCAGGGTGATTAGACTACTTGACCAAATAAAAACTTATCATTTTCCTAATTTTAGTTATAGGCAAGTTTTAGCAATTTTACCAAGTCAAGCAACATCCTACACATGCAAATCTAAGAGTTGAGTAGTGAAAAGTAAAGACTTTGCATATGAACATAAAGGAGGAATTGGAGAAATCAAACACAATGAAGTGTTGGGGAATGTTGCATGGAAAACAAAAAAATTGTACGCACACGCAAAATCTATCCATGGAGATGGATAGCTACGAGAAGGGGAGAACATCTACATACCCTTGTAGATCGCTAAAAGGAAGCGTTTATCAACGCGTTTGATGTAGTCGTACACCTTCACGATCCGTCCCGATCAAGTACCTAACATACGGCATCTCTGCGTTCAGCACACGTTCAGCTCGATGACGTCCTCGCCTTCTCGATCCAGCAAGATATGCGAAGTAGTAGATGAGTTTCAGCAGCACGACGACCGTGGTGGTGAAACTATCCGCAGGGCTTCGCCAAGCACAACGGACGTGGACGAAGGAGGAACTAGAACTAGAGGGAGAGGGGGCGCCGCACGCGGCTTGGGGATCATGGTGTGTGTTGCCCCTCTCCCTCCTCACACATATATAGGTGGGGGAGGCAGCCCTAGGGTGCCCTCAAGGGGGGCGGTGGCCACCCCTGGTCTCCTGCCCCATTTCCTTATTAGGGGTGGAGGAGGTGGCAGGGAAGGGGGCGACGGCTACCCTGCCTTGGCGCCCTCCTTTCCTTCCTAGCACGTGGGCAGGTGAGGTGGAGCACGCCCAGCCCTTAGTGGGCTGGTGTGCCTCTCTCCTTTGGCCCATGAGATCCACCAAGTAACGGTGGCCTCCCGAAACCCCTTCCGGCACTCCGGTAAAACTTCGGTGCATTCCGAAACCTTTTCGGAGACCAAATAGTATCGTCCTATATATCAATCTTTACCTTCGAACCGTTCCGAAGCTCCTCGTCATGTCTGTGTTCTCATCCGGGACTCCGAACAACATTCGGTCACCAATTCACATAACTCATATAATACTATATCGTCAACAAACGTTAAGCGTGCGGACCCTATGGGTTCGAGAATGATGTAGACATGACCGAGACGCTTCTCCGGTCAATAACTGATACGTATCCAACGTATCTATAATTTTTCATGTTTTACAATCATTTTATAGCAACTTTATATTATTTTTGGGACTAACCTATTGACATAGTGCCCAGTGCCAGTTGCTATTTTTTGCTTGTTTTTACTTCGCAGAAAATCAATACCAAACGGAATCCAAATGCAGCGAAACTTTTTGAATATTTTTTTTGGACCAGAAGACACAAGATGGGCCGAAGAAGTACCAGAGGGGTGCCCCGAGGGGGGCGCAACCCACTTGGGCACGCTTGGGGGCACATGGGCGCCTGGTGGGTTGTGCCCACCTCGGCCGCCTCCCGCACCACCTCTTTGCTCTATAAATACCCTGAAAATCCAAAAACCCTAGGGGAGTCGATGAAACACAATTTCAGCCGCCGCAAGTTCTAGAAACCATAGATCCAATCTAGACACCATCACGGAGGGGTTCATCATCCTCATTGGTGCCTCTCCGATGATGTGTGAGTAGTTCACTGTAGACCTATGGGTCCGTAGGCAGTACCTAGATGGCTTCCTCTCTCTCTTTTGATTCTCAATACAATGGTCTCTTGGAGATCTATTTGATGTAACTCTTTTTGCGGTGTGTTTGTTGGGATCCGATGAACTTCAAGTTTATGATCAGATCTATTTTATCCATGAAAGTTATTTGAGTTTTGATCTCTTATATGCATGATTGCTTATAACCTCGTTTTTCTTCTTCGAATCTTTGGTTTAGTTAGGCCGACTAGATCGGTTTTTCTTGCCATGGGAAGAGGTGCTTTGTGGTGGGTTCGATCTTACGGTGCTCAATCCCAGTGACAGAAGGGGACATGACACGTATGTATCATTGCTATTAAGGATAACAAGATCGGGTATATTCCTACATGAATAGATCTTGTCTACATCATGTCATCGTTCTTATTGCATTACTCCATTTTTCCATGAACTTAATGTTGGGTTTCGTAGTAATTTCAAAAAATTTCCTACGCACACACAGGATCATGTGATGCATAGCAACGAGGGGAGAGTATTATCTACGTACCCAACGCAGACCGACTGCAGAAGCGATGACACGACGTAGAGGAAGTAGTCGTACGTCTTCTCGATCCAACCGATCAAGTACCGAAACTACGGCACCTCCGAGTTCGAGCACACGTTCAGCTCGATGACGATCCCCGGACTCCGATCCAGCAAAGTGTCGGGGAAGAGTTTCGTCAGCACGACGGCGTGGTGACGATCTTGATGAACTACAGCAGCAGGGCTTCGCCTAAACTCCGCTACAGTATTATCGAGGAATATGGTGGCAGGGGGCACCGCACACGGCTAAGGAATTGATCACGTGGATCAACTTGTGTCAACTTGTGTCTTTGGGGTGCCTCTACCTCAGTATATAAAGGAGCCAAGGGGGGAGGGGGCGCCGGCCAAGAGAGAGAGGCGCAGGAGGAGTCCTACTCCTACCGGGAGTAGGACTCCCCCCCCAATCCTATTCCAACTAGGATTCCCAAGGGGGAAAGAGGGAGAGGGGTGGCCGGCCACCTCTCCTAGTCCTAATAGGACTAGGGGAAGGGGGGAGGCGCGCAGCCCCCTTGGGCTGCCCCTTTCTCCTTTCCACTAAGGCCCATGAAGGCCCATATGGCTCCCGGGGGGTTCCGGTAACCCTCCCGGTAACCCGGTAAAATCCCGATTTCACCCGGAACACTTCCGATGTCCAAACATAGGCTTCCAATATATCAATCTTTACGTCTCGACCATTTCGAGACTCCTCGTCATGTCCGTGATCACATCCGGGACTCCGAACAACCTTCGGTACATCAAAATGCATAAACTCATAATATAACTGTCATCGTAACCTTAAGCGTGCGGACCCTACGGGTTCGAGAACAATGTAGACATGACCGAGACACGTCTCCGGTCAATAACCAATAGCGGGACCTGGATGCCCATATTGGCTCCTACATATTCTACGAAGATCTTTATCGGTCAGACCGCATAACAACATACGTTGTTCCCTTTGTCAACGGTATGTTACTTGCCTGAGATTCGATCGTCGGTATCCAATACCTAGTTCAATCT